TTCTAAGGCTCAAGGGATGAGGCTGCAACCGGTTTTCATCGCAGCTAAGCAAACAGTAAAAAAAAAAAAAAAAGCACTTGAATTCAGCTAATTCAAGTTTCATGGTAGGATAAAGACCTGCATCAGATGTCTGCTGAGAGCTTCTTTATTTTTCCAACCTCTCCTTTGGGGATTTATTCCTTTCGATTTCATTTTTCTTAATACTCAGCAGCTGCATATTAATGAGGATGCTAATGATCATAGGCTTCCCTGGGCCTGCATTCACCAATTAACTTTAATAAACAAAATGCGCGGTGTCCTCGCTGCTGGCTTTCCCAGTTCCTAGGCCGGCTTCTGTTGCCGAACCCTGGACCGAGGCCAGAGAATGCAAGTTAGTCCAACACAGCACGTCGCGTGTGCCTGGCCTGCGCGGGGATTGGGCAATGGGCTGGGGGCTGTGAACACATCGCTGCGTTCGTCTATTATGGTCTGTCCTTCTGAGAAGTCCCTAATTTGGCTGCAAGGATTAGGACATAGTTCCCAAGCAGGGCCCACGCTGGCAGGGAGCCCAGGAGCTACGGAGGAAATGGGTCTAAGTGAAGAGACCATCTGTTCGCTCCAGGTAAAGCTGTGATTGGCAGGCGACTGAGCCAGAGCAGCCCGCTTGTGGGGCCCTCCCTCCGTGGCCTCTAACAGATATACAAGTAAACAATCCGCCAGCCACTTATGACCACCGCGGGCGGCAGTCCCAGGAGAGCAGGCAAGCTAATCAAACATTCAAGGGGGGAACACAACAGAATCTCTGGCGCTTGGGCAAAACAATGTTTTGCTGAAGTACAGCCAGGAAGGGGGGAACGTTTGAATAGAAGCTGATGAGCCAGTTCCTCAACCTCTCCTTTTCTCTCTGGAAACGTGTTAACATTTTAATCATGTTGCTGAGTATCTGCTGCTGGATCTATTAACTGGCCCCTGCACTAGTTTTGATCCATTTGTTTTTTGGCTCAGAGTTCCTGTGGAGCTCCTTGAAGTCTCAATGATTTGCAGCGGCCTGTGTCTCTTCACCACACAGATCCTGGTCGAAACATGCTATTCCGAAGTAAGGTATTATCAAACAAGCGACTTCAGCCATTGCTTCCCTTTTTTTGGTCTCCAATTGATAGCACACACCTAGAAACCATTCCACCCCATGGTCTGCTTTACAACCGAGGAATGTGGGGGGCCAGGGAAGCTGGCTTTATTTCTGCTGGGGTCCTCAGGGCCCTGTCCTGAACCTCCTCTCACTCTTTCCCCAGGCGAGCTCATTCATTCCACAGCTGCTGCTTAAACAGTGACTCCCAAGGCGCCATCTCCAGCCCCTCGCCCCACCCCGAGTTCTGGGTCAGAAAGTCCAACTGTATCCTGGACATGTAGATGTCCCTGGCCACCTAAAATGGCTCAGAAAAACAAGGACAACACAGAACTTGTGTTGTCTCTGCCAAAAAAGCCACCACCTACTGGAAACCACCACAAGCTGGAAAGCAGGCAGCAGTGATGTGCTGGTAAGCATTTAGCAACTGGCTTTGTGATGGGGGAAAGCCCTGTTTTGGAGCGTTTGCCAATTTTCGTGGTACAGAGACTCCCACCATAGCCAGTTTCAAGCTAGCTACCAACATGAAGACACTAAATGCCAAGTTGAGAAGAGATGTGTAGAATCATCTCTTGCAAGGTGGTAGGAGCTAGCTCCAGCACACCACGGCGGGGAGACATCCTCCCTCATCCCCTTCCTGTGCCTCATGGCACAAGGCACTTCCTCCATCTACCCTGCTACAGGCCACGCCCTGAAGAAGCCTCCCACTGGACCTCCCTATATCCACTCATTCTCCCTCCCAACCATTCTCTACAAAGCAGCCATATCTTTTTGTTATTTATTATTTTGAGACGGAGTCTCACACTGTTGCCTGTGCTGGAGTACAATGGCGTGATTTCTGTTCACTGTAACCTCCGCCTCCATGGTTCATGTGATTCTCCTGCCTCAGCCTCCCAAGTAGCTGGGATTACAGGTGCACACCACACCTGGCTAACTTTTTATATTTTTAGTAGAGATGGGGTTTGACTATGTTGGTCGGACTGGTCTTGAACTGCTGACCTCTTGATTCACCTGGTAGCCTTGGCCTCCCAAAGTGCTGGGATTATAGGCGTGAGACACTGTGCCTGGCCTTATTATTTTTTGAGATGAAGTTTCACTCTCGTTGCCCAGGCTGGAGTGCAATGGTGCAATCTTGGCTCAATGCAACCTCCACCTCCCGGGCTCAAGTGATTCTCCCACCTCAGCCTCCCAAGTAGCTGGGATTACAGGCATGCACCACCACACCTGGCTAATTTTGTATTTTTAGTAGAGATGAAGTTTTGTCATGTTGGCCAGTCTGGTCTTGAACTCCCAACCTCAAGTGATCCATTCACCTCAGCCTCCCAAAGTGCTGGGATTACAGTCATGAGCTACCGCACCCATCCTCTACTAAATATGTATATATTTTTTGAGACAGAGTCTTGCTTCGTTGCCAGGCTGGAGTGCAGTGGCACAATCTCTTGCTTACTGCAAGCTCCACCTGCCAGGTTCAAGCAATTCTCCTGCCTCAGCCTCCCAAGTATCTGGGATTACAGGAGCACTCCACCATGCCCAGCTAATTTTTGTATTTTCAGTAGAGATGGGATTTTGGGATTTCACCATGTTAACCAGACTGTTCTCAAACGCCTGACCTTGTGATCCACCCATCTCAGCCTCCCAAAGTGCTGGAATTACAGGAGTGCGCTGCCGTGCCCAGGCTACAGAAATTTTTTTTTTTTTTTTTTTT